ACTTCCTTGAGGGCTTAACAAAGCTAACAGTTCTATAGAATGTTTTGTCTCTTTGTTACAAGAGGTTAGGTACCTTCTTTTTCTCCAGATGGCTTCATGACCATGAACAACAGAAAAGGTATACCTGAAGCTAAGCCAGGAGTTTAGAGCTAAGAAAGTGTTCCAGTCAGATGCCTCTTGTAATTCTAGCACCTACTATGTCACTGACATAATGTGATAAAGTCCCATATTTTAATGGGAGGTTTGGGAGGTCTTTAGCGAGAATTTCCCTAAAAATAGTAGGGGACTTTTTAAAACCTTGGGGGATAACTGTCCAACAGTATTGTTGCTTTGTTTTGTGTCTGCATCTTCTCATTCAAAAGCAAACAGTTCTTGTGATTCTGGACTAAGAGGGATGGAGAAGCAGCATGTTCTGAATCTAAGATAGTGAGTCACCAAAGATTCCAGTTAGAGTTGTGAGTAACATATAGGGATGGGGGACTACTGGGTAAGTGTCTTCTCCATTTTGGTTAATGGCTGTTAGGTCATGAACAAATCTTTATTCCTTTGTCCCAGGGTTATGGACTGGTAGTTTGGCTGTGTTGTTAAAATGGGAGATCTGAAAGATCTACTAAGTCTGAACTAAAGGAAAGCATACAGCAGAGTCTTGTTTTTCTGCTATGTCTTGTCCTTCAAGGGGAATGCCATTTCCACTCATACCTTGACTTGAACTGAGACAGCAATTTTAGCCCTTCCTGATCTCCCATCTGCCTGCATCTCCAGACTCTCCTCTAAGTGTATGTCTTCAGGAATGAGAGCAGGGTAAAAGACTTCTGGTTGCAGCAGGGCAGACTGCAGGGCACAGGAGTGTTTGGGAGGCACCTGATAAGCAGTCTTCGGGGCTGATGGTAATGTTGGTGTTCAGTTTGGTTAAAAGATCTCATCCCTGCAAAGGAATGGGACACTCAGAAATATAAGGAAACTACACTTTCAGTCGGTTTGCCCTAATTAGGACTCAAAATATTGAAAGAAAGTCCTTGTCAGTATTTATCCTGAGATTCCAGTCACTATTAAACTGACTCTGAAGACAGTTTAGAAGCCAAGGGTTTATTACCAAGTAAATGTTACCAGTATCTACCAGAAAGTCCAAATCTTGATTTCTCACTCTCATCACAACCAGGGGCTCCATGTGGGAAATGTAAAGAGTGATGTTTGGGTTGGGAGGAACCCTTGGGCCCTGACATTCCTGGCATCCATCTTTGACAATTGTAGCTTGAAGACTCACAAGTAACTCAGACATCTGGTTAGCAGAGAGGGGGAGCTTCCCAGCATTAGTGTTTGTAAGAGATGGTCAATCCCTCTTCTAGTACCTTTCCTGCTTGCAATAGGCACATTGATTGAGAACAACAGTGAGGTGTCTCTTTTTGTCAGATGTCTGGGCTCCAGGGGTCCTATCTTGGTACCTGAGGGAAATTCACATTGGGGTCCTGAAATTTCCTTCAGTCAAATCAGCTGCCAGAGGTTGGCCTCCTCTTTCATTTTCTATTACTCTCTCTTCTCTATTACCTCATTCAGATCAGTGAACACCTTAAGATCAATTTTAATGAATGAGACGTAGGCATGCCCCAGATCTCACCCAACTTTTATAATTTCCTCTGGAATTCAGGAACAGTTTTCTGATGAAAGTCATAGTTATAATTTTAGAATTTACTGGTGCTTAAAGATCAATGTCTAAGTATGCTTCAAAAATCTGTGCTAAGAATTCTGAGGAGCCCTCCATAGGCTTCTGCTTAATTTCTTATTCTTTCTGAAGACTTCGCTATAGCTCAGTCAAGAAGACCCACTCTCACCCACTACCTTCTCTTCATGGGATCACTTCCTTTTTGAGTAAAATTTGAGTTTTGAAGGGCTAGTCTGGTCCTTTTCTTATCTGGTTCCTTTCTTTCCAAGGTCAGGAGGGCAGGCAGTGGGCTCTAGCCCTAATTCTGGCTTTCCTGCTGCTTGGTAAGTATGTTGCACTGGTTGGTACACAGTGAGTTTATTTTGCACAGGGTCCCATACTCATTTTTTTATGTTGTTCCTCTTGCAGTCAGTCAGATCTCTTCCCACTTGGAATGGACAATGATGTCAGCCACCAGGAAAATTGAGTCAGCTGCTATTATCACTTGTGATGTTTAATAAAGTACTAACTACGTCCATTGGTTTTGCTATCAGAAGGACAAGGCCTGAGAACACCTTTTCCACTATGACTTTCTTGTTTCTGGGAAGGTGGTGGAATCAGAAAACAGTCCAGAAGAATACCATACTTAAAGAATGCTCAAAGAAGAGTTGTAAATTGCCACTGGTAGAAAGTGACTCTAGTGTGTAATACTGTACCACCTGAATGAGGAGCAATGATTCAGATCTGCCCTCTTCTGTACAGAAAATACGTCTGTGTCTGCTCCTGGTATACAAGATAGCCCAGCCCTAGTCTCACTTCCTGGCCTGACCTTCCTCTGTCCTAATAAAGGAATCCTAATCTCCAACTACACATCTACTCCCCTGTCAGCAGCTGTACCCTGCCAATCCCAGGACTCTCACAGAGCTGGAGCTGCCTTCTCCAGGCCTTATTCAAGCACTCTGGCTGATAGCATGGACCTCTCTGATCTTTCAGGGGGTGGTGGAGACTCAATCTCTATTTCCTAGGAGAGCTAAGGGCTCAGAGCACTGATATGTAAAGGGAAACATTTAGTAGAATATTGTGGGAAGGTTGGTTGTACTGGTTCGTTGCTGGGAAAGGCTCTGATTCGTCATACATATAACACTATGAGGAATACTATCCTAGCCACTAACAATACTAGGTTTGACTTATGCATTTTGAGATTTCCACTCTCCCTCTGTCTTCCCTTCCCATGTCTCTGTCTCTCTTTCTGTGTCCTTTCCTCGTGGCTCACTTACTTTCTAAATTTCACTCTCTCTCTTCCTTTCTCTCTCTCTTTTTGTCTCTCATCTTAAGATGTACAGCAAATAATGTTTCAAAAATTCATTTTAAGTAATTCTATATATGTTTATGCCAACTTTGATATATAGCTCATCCTTTTTGTGAGTTCGTACTTTACAGGTTTTATTATTTCATTTTGTTTTATATGTCTTGTGTAGGCAAGAGATTAGTGTGGTTCTGAAGTCAAAATTATATGAGAAGATGCATTTAAATATTTTTCCTTCAATCCTGGATTTCTCTTTCCTTTTCTGTCCCTCACCTTACAGGTTACAATATTTTTGTCCATTCAATTAAATATTTTCACTTTTTTTGTTATTTATTAGAAGAGATCTTTACTATATCTGCAGTATATATTGTTTCTCCTCATTTTAACATTCATATTTTTGTTTTGGTGTCTTGGTTTTATACATTTTAATTAATGTTTCACTTTCTGCTTATTGATTTTACTTGAATACATGCCCAGACTTCATGATTAGCCATCAGATAATGCATTTTCTTCTTTTAATATCTTCACTCAGTTATTATTTCATGTTTCTCTCATGATCCATCCAGTACTCTATTCTAGCAATTCTTTCTGGATTTTTCCATTGTGTTCAATGAAGTTTCACATTCTAATGTCAGCATTGACCTCTTAGGAGCTTTATAGTTCCTTTAGAGTCCATGGGATCAGTTTCCTTTTACCTTGTTGTTATTATTACTATTATTATTATTATTATTTGCATTTTAGTACAATGGCCATTCTCGCTTTTCTCATTTTTAACTGTAAGCCTTTTCCCACAGCAAGGATATTCAATGCTACATTACCCTTGAGCTTGTCTCCCTCATAAGGACCTGGAGGGCTCAGCTTCCAGGGCTTCTCCTTTGGTAGTCTCATGTCCCTGCACATGTGGCTCTTGAGGGAGAGGGGGGATCAACCAGTGTCTGCCACCCTTCCCACTCCTAGCAGTTATGACAGCAGAAAATGAATTACCTGAGAGAGGCCATACTAACCACTAAGAGGGAAATTGTGGAGCTTTTTATTGTGAGCATTTTAAATATATATCCAAACACATTTATTAAAATAGTAGAGGGGAATCTATATAGGCATTACTGTAATTTTATCACCAATCTAGTCTATGTCCAGGTACTCTGAAGACATCATGTAGTTTCTGAGGGTATGATTACCAAATAAATATAGATGCCTAGACAAATTGTTATTTCAAACAAACACCAAATGCCTTGTTAGTTTCAGTATGTATCAAAGATTTCATGGCATGACTCCATGTTTATTTATTTGCTTATTTATTTTTCACTATATCTCACAATCCTACTTGAGGGTTTCTTTTTAATTGAAGATGAACAGAAATACTCTTAAAATGGATTTGCATGCATCTCTCTCTCTTTCTCTCTCTCTCTCACACACACACACACACAAACACTCATTTACCTTTGTGTAGAGTGAAATGGAGACCAATGCACCTTTCCCTAATTCCTTTTAGTAAAACACATTTAAGCTCTTTCAGAGTTGATGCTGGTAGCTTCCTGAAAGTGTTCTTACAGATATAAAAAGGAAGATGATTAGGAGCAAAAATAAAGAAGCTTCACCACAAGACAAGGCCCTGGCAGCACCTGTAACACCTTGAAACTATGGCCTGCAGGGGACAGAGCCTGACTCAGGACTGCTCACTCAGCGCCCAGGCACTCTGCCCCAGGTCAGCTTCCTGCCATCCTTTCCTCCAGCTGTTGCAATCTGGAGCTCCCCAGGCTCCTGCCTTCTCATGTGGAGAGGGAAATTTCTCAGCTGCCACAGGAGGGCCCTGGAGAAGGGGGTGGAATCAGGGAAGTGGGGGTTCCTTGGCAGGTCCTTCTAGGCACCCCACTTCATCTGGGTGTATAGCTTGGAGTCTTCTAAGACAGGTTGTCAGTTACCTTTCTCTGCCCGTGGCTCAGTAAGAAGACCAGCTCCACTTACTGCCTTCATTCTCTGGGCTCATTTGTTTTTTGAGAAGGATTTGAGTTTTGATTTCTGTCCCTCTTATCATCTGGTCCCTTTCTTTCTAAGGCCAAGAGGGGAAGGCATGCAGTGGCTGCAGCCTTACTTCTGGCATTCCTGCTTCCTGGTAAGTATGCTGCACTGGTCAGTACCTTTTTGTTTCTTTGTTTGGCACAGGGTGGCAAAACAAACTAAGGAATTCCCCTTTAGTTTTTATTGTTCCCATTACAGCCAGTCAGAGATCTTCCAATTTGGAAGGGACAATAATGTCAGTCACCAGAAGAAAAGGATCAGCTCCCATGATCACTTGTGATATTCTTCATCGAAGAGCTGAACTCATCCACTAGTACCTCTTCTGGTAGGGCACGGCCCCATGATGCCTTCTGTCCTAGGACATCCAGGAAGGTGGTGGAATCAGGATTCAGTCATAAGAAATACCATGCTTCTAAAGACAGTGATAAGAATTTTAAATTGCTCGTTGAACGTGTGGAAACAAGTGACTCTGGAGTATACCACTGTGTCACCTTGTTAAGTCACAGTTTCTTACACCTGTCCTATACCACACTATAAACTTCTCTTGTGGCTGCTCATGGTACACAAGATAGACCAGCCCTGGCTCATTTCCTGAATTCTGAACAAGGGAAAACCTGAGTCCAAGTCCTAACCACCTCTGTTACGTCCTACTCCCTGTCAGCACCTGCACGCTGCCCCCACCCCAGGCTGGAACTCCCCTGCAGACTGAGCTGCCTTCTTCAGGCCTGACCCAGCACTCTGGCTGACAATATTGTTCTTCTAACTCTCCTAGGGGCTGGGAGAGACTCATTCTATGGTTTCATAGGACAGTTAAGGGCCCTGAGAATTGATTAGTAAAGGGAGACATTTATTACAACATTGTGAGAAGGTTAGTTGTGCTGAATCTTTTATCCAATCATTGTTTCGACATCATGGCTGGGAATGGTGCTTGTTCATTGTATTTATCACAATGTGAGCAAGGCTGTCATTACCACTCACAGCGGGTCTGACTTAAACCCTCTAAGATTCTCTTTCTCTCTCCCTTCCTGTCTGTCTCTCTTTCTCTTATCCCTTTTGTTTGAAGAGAAATTTAAAAATTTCTCTCTTTCTTTTTTCTTTCTTTATTCTTAGAACATACAATCAGATTACTATTTCTGGAAAATCATTGAAATAATTCTTTACATATTCATGTTAACCTTTGATACGCATGTAGTTTGTCTTCTCCTTTTGTAATTGTATATTTGGGGGATCAGTTTTATTTCATTTTGTTTCATATTTATTTTGTGTCGGCAAAAGCATTATATGGACATGAAATCAAAAAATAATAAAATAGGTGCATTTTGAGATTTTTGCTTCCTTCCTAGATTCTCTTCCTTCTCCTGTCCCTAAGCTGATAGGTGACAATATTTTTGTCAGTTCAGATGGATGATTTCACTTTTTCTTATTGATTCAAAAGATGTCTTTCACTTTTTTTTTTTATTTTTGAGACAGAGTTTTATTCTGTAACCCTCGGGAGAGTGCTCTGGCATCAGAGCTCACAGCACCCTCAAACTTTTGAGTTCACATGAACCTCTTAGCTCAGACTCCTGAGTAGCTGGGATTACAGGCAACCACTACAATGCCCAGCTATTTTGAGTGAAGGGCATTGCTCACTGTTGCTCAGGCTGGTCTTAAACTCCTGAGCTCAAGCAATCCACACCACCTCGACCTCCCAGAGTACTAGGATTATAGGTATGAGCCAGGTTATATTCTTTTTCTATACATTAACATATTAAGATTTGTTTTGGTGTTCCAATTTTATAGATTTTAATCAATATTTTATTTTCTGTTCTCTACCTTACTTGAATACATGCCTAAAGCTTATGATTATCCTCAAAGAAATGCATGTCTTCTTTTATTATTTTTACCCATTCATTATTTTATGTTCATATCATTGATCCATCTAGTATTTTAGACAATAACTGTAGCATAATAATAATGACTGGTAAATTGGGGCACTCATTATCTGGGAGTTAGTGCAGGAAGCACTTTACCTGTTATTATTTTATATAATTTACACAGAAACCTTAGGAACAGTTCAAAGTACACTTGAATTGAATTTAACAGATGAGCAGTTCACACAAGCAGAACTTCAATAATGTTCCCAAGGCCATCGAATTCAATGTGATAGAAATTTTTCTCAAGCTCTGTGGTTCCGAAAAAATGTGAAATGTTAATTTGATTTGCATTTTCTCATCATTAAAGAGTAGTAGTGTTATTTGATAAATATACTGATTAATGTTTCATTTGTGAAATGCCTTGTTAAACTTCTTGCCCATTCTTCCATTAGAATATTAATTTTGTGCTTTGGTTTATGTACAACTTTGGATATATTAACCATTTCATAAATAGGGGTTGACATTTCCCCTTATTTGCTGTTATTTATATTTGGCATCTTATGGGAAACAGAAGTTTGGATATTACTTTTTAATGGAATCTACTTTTTAATGGAATTTAATGGAAAAAAAATTACTTTTTAATGGAATCTATTTTTTTTCTTTTGAGACAGTTTCATTATGTCACCCTTGGTAGAGTGCTGTAACACTCTACCATATGTGTTACTCTTGCATATGTACTACTGTAGTTTTATTATCAATATATCATACTTGTTTGACCCCCATTAATCCAGCCATCAGTCCAAGTACCTTGCAGGTATCAGTTGAGTTTCTGAGGGTATAGATATCAAATTAAATATAGAATGTCCAGGTCAATTGGTATTTCAGATAAACAACAAGCAAGTGTTAAGTCCACATATGTATCAAATATTGCATGACATAAAACAGCGCACTTCTTGTTTTTTTTCATTAATTTTTACTACATCTTACAGTTCTACTTGAGGTTGTCTAATTCGAAAGCTTTCTCAAGGTTGGTAGTGATTTCCCGGAAGTGTACTTACTGATAGATGAAGGAAGGTAATTTAGGACAAAAATAAAGAAGCTTCACAAAAAGGCAAGACCATGGCAGAAGCTGCAGCGTATTCAAACTGTGGAGTGCAGGAGAGGGAGTCTGACTCATGACTGCTCACCCCACAGGGCCCAGGTACACTGCACCCAGGTCAGCCTCCTCCCATCCCTGCTCTCCACCTGCTGACATCCTGAGCTCTCCATGCTCCTCCTCTGGAGAGAGCTGCTCTCAGTTGCCACAGGATGGGGCTGGAGAAGTGGGTTGAAGCAGAGAGGGCAGGGCTGCTCTGCAGGTCCTCTCAGGCACTCAGGGCTTCTGGGTGAACAGCTTGGAGATTTCTAAGGCAGATCCCCAGTCACTTGTCTCTGCCTGTGGCTCAGTGAAGAAGAGCAGCTCCACCCACTGCCTTCCATTCCAGGGATCACTTCCTTTTTGAGTAGAACTTGAGTTTGGAGGGGCTTTTCCACTCCTCCTAACACCTGATTCCTTTCTTTCCAAGGCCAAGAGGAGAAGACATGTGGTGGGGGTGGGCTCCTGCCCTGCTCCTGGCTTTCCTGCTGCCTGGTAAGCACATGGCAGTGGACGATGTTCATGGCGTTGGTTTGTTTTGCATAAGTGCCTTACTGAGGAAATTCTCATTATTTGTTGTTGTTGTCGCCATTGCAGCCAGTCAGGTATCTTCCAACTTGGAAGGGAAAATGATGTCAGTCACTGGGAAAATCGGGTCAGCTGTTGATATCACTTGTCATGTTGAACAAAGTGTCGCCGATATCCACTGGTACCTCTTCCAGGAGGGCAAGGCCCAACGACGCCTCCTCTACTATGATGTTCTTAACTATGAGATGGTGGTGGAATCAGGAGTCAGTAAAGAAAAATACAACCCTGTTATAGGCACGGTAAAGAGTTTTAAGTTGAGACTGCAACATTTGGAAGCAGGAGACTCTGGAGTATATTACTGTACTAGCTGGGACTGGTCTGACACAGTGACTCAGACATATCCTGAGCTACACTGAAAACCTTGCTTGTGGCTGCTCCTATTACACAAGAGAGACCAGCCCCTATCTCTCTTTCTGCCCTGACTTCACTGGATTTTTAATAAAGAGAAACCCTGACCTCAAGGCCTGACCACCTTGTTACATCCTATTCCCCCATAGCAGCTGCACCCTGCCCTGGACCCATCCCCAGGACTCTCCTACAGATTAAACTATGATACCTTCTCCTGGCCTTGCCCAGGGTGCTGGCTGAAAACATGGTTCTTTAGCTATTTCAGGGTCTGATAGAGATCCATACATTGCTTTCTCGGCCAGTTAAGGTCCTGGAGTGTTGATCTCTAAAGTGAGAATTTAGGAAAGCACCGTGGGAAGTTTAGTTGTACTGAATCCTTTATCCAGTCATTGTTCTGAAGCTGACACTGGGAGTGGTGCTTGTTCATTGTAGAGTGAGTCTGAGAATCTTGTACAGATAATAATATGAAAAACATTATCATTCCCACTAGCAACACGAGGTTTAGGGCAAGATTGTGCATGTTGAAATGCCTTTCCTCGCTCTCTCCGTCCTTGTTTTCTGTATCTGCCTCTCTTTCTCTCTCCTTTCCTTTTCAAATCTTGGGTGATGTGATACTCTCAGACTCACTCTATGAGTCCTGTATCAACCTACTCAGTGCATAAACCCAGTGCAGACACAACAGGTCACAGGATGATGTCCTTGCTGGAAGATTTCATCTTTTCTCACTGGGCCCTCAGGTACTTCCCATTCACTCCAACTTTTGAAGAAAGAGCAAAGAAATTTTTTAATAGTGCATCCTTAAACACATATACCATGTTTTCACATGTATTTCTCTTCTTTGGTCACAGCTAATTTTGGACAGTTGAAATTGCAAAAACTTGAAATATTAATTTATGAGGAAAAAATGTTTTTTATTAAATCAGAGCTGTGTAAATTGATACTGTCATGGGGTACAGTGTGCTGTTTCTATACACAATTTGAAATACTTTCATCAAACTGGTTAACATAACCTTCATGCTATTTTCTTAGTTACTGTGTTAAGACATTTATATTCTACCTTTAAAAAAAATTCACATGTACCCTTATAAGATGAATCATACGCATGATCCCACAAATTACCCTCCCCTCCACCTATCCTCCCCACTCTCCTCCTCTTCCTCTCCCCTTTCCCCATATTATTGGGCTATAATTGGGTTATAGCTTTCCTATGAAAGCTATAAATTAGTTTCATAATAGGGCTGAGTACACTAGATACTTTTTCTTCCATTCTTGAGATACTTTGCTAAGAAGAATATTGTCCAGCTCCATCTATGTAAACACGAAGGAGGTAAAGTCTCCATCCTTCTTTAGGGCCACATAGTATTCCATGGTGTACGTATACCACAATTTATTGATCCATTTGTGTGTCAATGGGCACTTAGGCTTCTTCCATGACCTAGTAATTATGAATTGGGCTGCAATAAACATTCTGGTACAAATATCTTTGTTGTAGTGTGATTTTTGGTCTTCTGGATATTTATACCTAGTTGAGGGATTGTAGGATCAAATGGCAGGTCTATTTTTAGTTCTCTGAGTGTTCTCCAGATGTCTTTTCCAAAAGGAATGCATTAGTTTTCAATCCCACCAGCAGTGTAAAAGTGTTCCCTTTTCTCCACAACCATTCCAGCATCTGTGTGGGATTTTGTGATATGGGCTAATCTTACTAGTGTTAGGTGGTATCTCAAAGTAGTTTTGATTTGCATTTCTCTGATTATTAAGGATAGTGAACATTTTTTCATATATCTATAAGCCATGTACCTGTCTTCTTCAGAGAAGTTTCTCTTCAAGTCCCTTGCCCACCCTGAGATGGGATCACTTGTTCTCTTCTTGCTAATACATTTGAGTTCTCTGTGGATTCTGGTTATTAAACTATTGTCAGAGACATAACCAGCAAATATCTTCTCTCATTCTGAGGGATGTCTGCTTGCTTTACTTACTGTGTTCTTGGCTGTGCAGAAATATTTTAGTTTGATGAGGTCCCAATAGTGTATTTTTGATGTTGCTTCAATTGCCGGGGGGGGGGGTCCTCTCATAAAATTTTCACCCAGGCTGATTTCTTCAAGTGTTTTTCCTACACTTCTAGTATTTTTATAGTTTCATGTCTTAAGTTTAAATCTTTAATCTAGTGAGAGTCAATCTTAGTGGTGAAAGGTGTGGATCCAGTTTCAGTCTTCTGCAGGTCGCCAGCCAGTTCACCCAGCACCATTTGTTAAATAGGGAATCTTTTCCCCAATCAATACTTTTAATTGGCTTATCAAAGATCAGATAGTGGTAAGTAGCTGGGTTCATCTCTTGGTTCTCTATTCTGTTCCATACATCTACCTCTCTATTTTTGTGCCAGTACCATGCACAAAGTGATAGTTTTGATCACTATCCATTTATAGTATAGTCTGATGTCTGGTAGCATGATTCCTCCTGCTTCATTTTTTATTTCTGAGTAATGTCTTGGCTATTCGAGGTTTTTTCTGATTACATATAAAATGAAGTATTTTTTTGATATCTTTAAAGTATGATATTGGAGCTTTAATAGGGATTGTATTAAAATTATATATGTCTTTGGGTAGTATGAACATTTTAACAATGTTGATTCTTCTCAGCCATGAGCATGGTATGTTTTTCCATTTGTTAACATTTTCAGCTATTTCTTTCCTTAGAGTTTCATAGTTCTCTTTATAGAGATCTT